TTGGTTTAACATAGCAATGAACATCTGTTTCTCATGATCCACGATGTCATTTACTTGCACCGCTCTGTGATACATTTCTTCTGCCTCCATATCCTCAGTTGCTTCTAATTTATTAGCTCTTCTCCCTCTTTGAGGCATTTTAGTAGTTGTAAAGTATGCTCAAAGACTAGAAATGTAGAACAGACAAGAGGAGCAGTAAAGACGTCTGCTCTCGCTTGCAACCCGGAAATTACGATTAATATTCAACTGGGTCACACTCTTTGAGTAACAGGTAGTGTTTAAAGTTGATCATAGGCACCACTGTAGAGTGTGAATCAGTAATTTCTGATTACTCCAGTTAAAGAGCCCACTGCATGCTCATTTTCAGTCATTTAGTGATTCATCTTGGGTGTCTTGGTTAGATTATTATGTTGCTACCAGCCTTTTTTCTGCATGAAAATGTATAATCCACAGGAGTTTTTGAGATGTGAACAATAATTGATAATGTCCTGTCATCTCCTCCGTTTTCTACAGTCTATTTCTATTCTTGTTAGTCTGTGCTTCTTGGCCTGCTCTAATGGCGCTGTTTTTCTCATATCTGGACATTTGCTCCATTGTTTGTTGGGCAAATTGTTGGGATTCTAACAGTGGAAGATTGAGGCTCTAGGGTGTATAGTTTTTGAAAGAAGCACAATTTTGAGACGGCTTCTCTCTCCATGCATTTGACACACAGCCAGGCAGTTACTTTCTTATGCCCTATTCTAGCCTGAGTCAGCTAGGAGACTCTGGAGAATTCACCATATGTGATACAAACTCTGCCTATGCAATGTGCACACAGCCACCTAAATTGCAAGGAATTTCTGTGAGCTGATGAGTTTTCTCCACTTTTGCTATTTTCCAGGTCTGTACGGTCTTCCAAAGAGGAATGGGAAACTGAAGGACATCAGCCATTTTGATGCAGCATTCTTTGGAGTCCACCCCAAACAGGCCAATACTATGGACCCCCAGCTTCGTCTCATGCTGGAGATTTCCTACGAAGCTATTGTAGATGGAGGTGAGGAAACAGGATGAAAAGCTTGAGACTGATAGAAGACAGGAATGATGGAAAAGGAATAAAATAAATGTTTGGTGGAAAGTAGCACTGAAATGTCTTTCATCTGATATGGTTTTTGAATCTGTTTTAGTTTAAAGAGAGCTTGTGATCTGAATGAAGCTACTAAGTTAATGGTTTAAAAACAGTGACGTGTTCTTACAATGCAGGACTGAACCCGGCCACACTGCGTGGCAGTAAGACGGGTGTCTACATTGGGGTGAGTGGCTCAGAAGCTGGTGAGGCGTTCAGCAGAGATCCAGAGGAGCTGCTGGGCTACAGCATGACTGGCTGCCAGCGCGCTATGTTGGCCAACAGACTCTCCTACTTTTTTGACTTCAGTGGTACGCACTCACATCCAACATACATGTATATTCTTTAGCCCCAGTGCTAAAGCATACACACATAACAGCTGGGGATGTCTGAGGGCATGTTTTCAAGACCTAGATATTAAACTCTTAAGATGTCATCTGCATTCCAGCATATCTTGCTCACCCAGCACATTATTTCAGACAAACACTGTCTTTTCAGGGTTTCCACCCAACAACCTGTGTGCATTAATGTTTTTCTCTGGCTCCACCTCCTCATCCCAGACTTATAATTGCCAATATAGTTAAGGTCGAAATTATTAGTCCCCTTTATGAAATCAGACAAAACTAACTTTTCCATGGAAATGACCATACCCAAAAGATTTTAGTTTCCAAAAGAACGACAGAATGTCCACTAAGTTTGAATCAGATATTTTACTGATGTGTTGAATTGAAAAAAACAAAAATGAGAAGTCCAAAATTAGTTCCCTCTGACAATTAATAGTCAGTAGTGTAACCTTTCTGACTCACAACTGACAACAGCCTCTTATGGTTGTTCCTAACTAGGCTGGCAAATGTCTCTTGAGGGATCTTAGCCCATTCTTCCATGCCACATTGTTCCAGCTCATCCAAAATGTGTGGTTTTTGAGCATGGCCATTAATCTTGAACTCCCACCACAGATTCTCAATAGGGTTGAGATCTGAACTCTGTGAAGGCCACTGTAGGACCTTGATTTTGGCATCTTTCAAAAGGTTTTGGCCCAACTTGGATGTATGCTTCGGGTCATTGTCTTGCTGGAAGACCCAGTGGCGACCTAAAGCTAGACTGGCAGCAGATTTCTTTACATTATCCTTCAAAATGTCAACATAATCTTCTTTCTTTGTGATTCCATGCACCCGAACAAGGTTCCCTGTGCCTGACGTAGCAAAACAGCCCCACAGCATTATACTCCTACCACCATGTTTAACTGTGGTAACTGTGTTTATAGGGTTGAAGGCCTCTCCCTTTCTTCACCTAACAAAAGCAGCATCCATGTGCCCAAACAACTCAAGTTTGGTCTCATCAGTCCAAAGGACAGACTTCCAAAACTCATCCCCTTGTTTCAAGTGTTCATGGGCAGTCTGGCTTTGATGTACTGCTGTGTGAGCAGTGGCGTTTTTCCTTGGACAATGACCTCGAAGCTCACAATGTTGTCCAGAAGAGGCCAGTTCAGCAACAGTCATCATGGCAGAGATCCAGGGATTCTTGTTTACATCTCTATTTTCCTTTACAATGTTTTTGAAATTTTGCACTTTTGCACCCAGGCAATTGTCTACGTCGGAGTGCACTTAGACTCTCTTAGTATGGAAGTGAGGTTGTTACCTGCCAGGTGAGAAGTGTTTTCATCTCTCCTGTAGCGTGTTGAGCCCCACACGAGAGTAACCGCTTTATCTGTCATGCTTTGACTGGAAACAATGTCAGCCAGTCATGTCATAGTTCCCCTCGGTCTTTTTCATATGAGGAAGTTCCAGAGGTGGTTCGGCCGTCTGCGCCTGTGCGAAACAAGAGGCACGTGCTCACAATTCCCCCCTTGGTCCAATCAGACCTGGAGTACTGGGGAACTCCCACAGTCAGCACACTGGGCGTTCCTCTGGGCAGAGCCACATCACATGTCTCGGTGTTCACAGACTTGTCTCTGCTTGGCTGGGGAGGCACATGTCCATCACAGGCTGTGGGAGGACGGTGGGATCGCACCCCATCTTTCCACATCAGCTATCTGGAACTAGCTACGGTGCTGAAGGTGGTGAAACACCTTGCACTGGTGCTGAGAGGAAGACACGTAGTGGTGCGATCAGACATTACAATACGTCGCACACATCAGCCATCAGGTTGGTGTTGGTTTTGCCGGCTGCTGGAAACAGCAGGAAACTCCTGCTCTGGGCTCATCAGAACCTGCTCTCCCTCAGAGCTGTGAGCAGAACTGCGCTGCGGATCTCATGTCACGAGGCAGACCTCAGCCCAGCAAGTGGAGGCTGAATCCGTCCCTCTTTCAGACACTGTGGGACAAGTTCAGCCCAGCGGTGGCAGGCCTGTTCGCAGCACGTGGGAACGCGCAGTGCCACCTCTGTTTTTCACTGAACGTTCAAGAGGAATGGCTGTGCATCCTCCTGATGGATCCAGAGCACGCAAGCGCTCTCTCGTCTGCTTGGTGCAATCCAGCAGTGCCCCGTGTCAGGTCAACGGCTGTGGGCCTGGCCCCTGAACGGGAGTGACTGGAGAGCCTAAGGTTGCCTCTGGCGGTCATACACGCAATTCAGTGCACGAGAGCTCCATCTATTATGGCGCCTTAAGCTGCAAATGGTCAGTTTTTCAACATTGGCGCATGGAGGGGGGCATAGCTCCCACTTTCTGCCCAATGTCTTAAGTGCTGAATTTTCTACAGATCCTGGTAGATAGAAACCTGGCTTTGTCTACTGTGTAAGCTATGCCGCTGCCATCTCTTCATGCCATGAAGTTTTTGGTGAGCGAATTGTGTGTTTTGCATACCCGCTGGTGAAACGCTTTCTCAGGGGCATAAGCAGACAAGCCTGTGATGCGTTCAGTGGCACCTCAGTGGGATTTACCTCTGGTTTTACACGTGCTCAGGGAACCCCCCCCTTTGAGCCCATAACAGAAATGTCTCTCAAACATCTCTCTCTGGAAACAGTACTTCTCTTAGCCCTAACTTCAGCTAAGCGAGTGGGCCATCTGTGCGCACTGTCTGCCTCACCGGCGTGCCTTCTCATACACGAAGACGGCAGCTCAGCCGTTCTGAGACCGAATCCTGCCTATGCGTCGAAAATAACTTCCTTTATTCGATCCAGAGTCATTACCTGGATGGGTTCTTTCCTCCGTCCCTCTCTGTCCAGGGCGCGCGGTCCCGTTACGTGGTGCGCACGGCAGCTGTCAGACAGACACAACAACTGTTTTGTTTATTGTAGGAGACATTTTTTTGGACAGCCTTTATCCAAACCATGGCTGTCTCACTGGCTGTGTGAGGCTATCACACAGGCTTACATGTTAGCTGGGTGTGATTCCCCCACCTAGCATCGGAGCCCACTCTACGAGGGCTAATACACCCTCCACTGCCCTCTTTTAAGGTATGATCGTGGAGGACATCCGCACGGCAGTCTCATGGGCCATGTCTTATGACCCTGTTCTACCTTTGGGACGCGTCCGAGTTTTGCCACTGGCTAACTCGGTCCTGAGTGATTTCCCTCTTTGAACAACCGCCACCGAGCGCCGATTCCACATGTGTGTTTTCTCGCTTGGGTGATTGCTTGTTAGCCATGTACACTCACTTGACTGTACTATCAATGCAAGCTGCGTTCTCGTTGTGTGTGTGTGTGTGTGTGTGTGTGTGTGTGTGTTTGTGTGCCCCTCCTGCACACACGCACTCTGTCTTTACGTTCTTCATGGTACTCATGTTCTCTGTTGGTAATATTGCTATTACTACTGTGAGACAACAGCTGTGTAATACAGGCATCTGATTATCTATGTACGCGGTTAGCACCCGTATGCTCTTGCAATTTAACTGTTATCTGTGAGCTCTTCCCTGCACTTCTCCCCTGTTAACAGAATGGCCATTCTGCCTTTACAGCTGCAGTCAGGTGTTTATATGGGCATGATTGCACCTGCTTCTCAGACGAGGCCTGATACAGGAGAGAGGATGTTGTTTGGGCTGCTATTATGGGGTATGCTGCCAAGCTGAGGTGTGTTTTAATGCTCTTGGGCGGCGGTGTGCCAACAGGGCATCGACTTCATCCAGCTGCGCTTTTATACCAATAGCGACAGCTCTTAAGAGGGCGAAGCCTATATGAAATAGAATGATGGTTACGATCAGTAACCCAAGCTTCTATGAGTATAGGCATAGCCCTCTAAGCTGGCAGCCCTGCTGTATCCACCCCGCAAGCTGAAGAGAAAGTGCTGGTGTAGGGATCCGATCACAGGTCACAGTGGCATTTATGCCATCGCAGCGGACCTGTTTGGGGACAGCACAGGGCGCAAAAGAATCTCTTCAGGACTGCGCAAGCGCGAGGGGTCATCCCAATAATGACAGCTCTTAGAGGGCTACGCCTATACTCATAGAAGCTTGGGTTACTGATTGTAACCATCGTTCTCTAGACTCTGGGAAAATGCTCATTGTTAGTAGTTACTATCAACTAACTGTTGCATTATTTTTAGTCTGGTATTTTCTCAGTGTTGGTTTATAAGCAATTTGATAGTGTTTTATTTTGCTAAATATAACCATTTGTCTGTATCTGCATAGCAGTCAAACTCTGTTCTTCACCATAAACATTTTGGAAATAAAGCGTTGTTATTATTATTATTATTATTATGATTATTATTATTTTAATTTCAGAGTACATTCACGGTGAAGTGGCCACATTCACAGAGTTCACACACATTCACCTCTGGAAGCTGCCTGTTAGAGATGTCATTTGATCGGTCATGTTTTTGAGATGTCAGGCAACCAATAAGCTGCTGCTATGTTAATCAGTTCAGCTGTCTACACTGCCTGTGTGTCAGCTGGTATAGCACCTGTGCTTCATGCGTGTAGCTTCAACCTGAAGCCTATTTTTAGCTTAGTCTATTTTTTTTCCCCAGAGCTACGACCAGAAAACCCTCCACAGAATCCACCAAAACAATGAAAGCTTTATAGTTCCAACAAGATCTCCACCAAAATAGCAAAATACATGAAGCAAAAACTATTGAAACACACATCTGTTACTTTAGTCCTACTGAACATGCAGTTTTTTTTTACCATGCATTGGATATACTTTACATGCGAGTGTAGCCAGTAATTCCCTCGTTGTATGTTATTTGTCTGAGTTTGGGACCATAGTTTTCCCTTTTACAAAGTGTTTCTGTAGGCTCCTCTTGGTGCTTTTGTAAACCAAGCACCTGGCATGTTGTGGAACAGAAGCTTGATCAGTTTGAATGGGCATAATTCACTGGTCATAAGTTTCTCACTTTTGTCCATTTTTGTACACATAACAGAATCCCACAGAACATAATCAATTTGAATGCTCCAGGTTTTTGCAGATGCTTGACTGTATCCTTTTTTTGCAGATATGGCCACTAACTCTAATCCACACTCCTCTCCTCTCCTCCTCCAGGCCCCAGCACTGCCATCGACACAGCCTGTTCCTCCAGCTTGCTGGCTTTAGAAAACGCCTTCCATGCCATTCGTCAGGGCCACTGTGACTCTGCTCTGGTGGGGGGAGTCAACTTGCTCCTCAAACCAAACACCTCTGTGCAGTTCATGAAACTGGGCATGCTCAGTCCTGAGGGGACCTGCAAGTCCTTTGATGCATCAGGTAAAAGGAAGTCACAAGATGCCTCCATAGTCTGCATGAAGAGCAGTATCCCCTGGCTCTCTCTCCCTTGCTTTTTTTGTGAACAGCACTTGTTGATGCACTCTACGCACATATGTTTTTTATGTGTACTCCTATATAACATTCATATTTTTATCGTTCTGTTTGCCAGGAGATGGATACTGCCGTTCTGAGGCAGCAGTGGCAGTGCTGCTGACCAAGCGATCGCTTGCTAAAAGGGTCTATGCCACAGTGGTCAATGCTGGCAACAACACGGATGGATACAAAGAGCAAGGTGAGGAGAAACACCAACAGCATGCAAGCTCTGAACCTATACAGTAGCACTGCATCCAGCGTGAAGATTTAGCCAACCTGTAGAGGTAGTCAAGATAATAAATTAAGATCCCTGTCAGAGAAATCTCATCACAGCCTTGATTTGTCTGACTTTCTGCTGTAAGTGCTTGGTTTTAAAATGCTTAAATTAAAACATTCTACTAATTTCTCAACAAATGAGTTAATTGTTTGGTTTATAAACTGTCCGAAAATAGAGAAAAATGCCAACAGGCTGGTGTGGTCCTTCTGTACCACTGCTAACACCCTGTCTGCCCATGGCAAGTGAACTACAGCACAGGTGTCTTTAGTTTCTCTGCTCAGTCAAACATGCATGCCCCCACAGCTGTTGGCAATCACACATGGACATCTAGAATTGACTACACATTGACAAATTATCATCACTAAATAATAGTATCATGTATTATTAATAATCACATCCTGGAAGGAGTGTTTCTGAAGAACGAATACTTCTGGTAATTTAAGTACATTTTGCCGATAATACTCGTACTTTTGATTTCTTGAGTAACATTTTGAATGGAGGGCTTTAATTTGTATTTGTAGAGTGAGGAATTTCTACCTTAAGTAAAGATTCTGAATACTTCTTCCACCATTGAATAGATGTTATTTCAGTCGGATTAAAGTAACTTAGTTACTTCGCTCAGTTAGCAAAATGGTTCCCACTGTTATCTCAAAGTTCATGTTGCATCTGAAAAGTAGATGTCACTAGATTGGTACTATAACTTGGTTTTAAATGGAAATCAGATTTAGGCAGTGCTGATTTCATGATAAAGGCATTTGTATGAGCTGGTGAAACCCACTAAAAAGACAAACAACATGAGCAGTCGGACAGAGTGGAAATGGGCCTACAAGTCAGGAAAAGTTATTTGGAGACGATTGATAAAAGGTTAAATGATTACTGAACCTTCCCTCGTTTACTGACACACTTTGTTGTTGTAAACTTTGACCTACTTACTGTAGTTTTGTGCAGTGAAGGATTATTACCAGCGTTTCAGCTTGTTGGACCTTAGGTTTGCTGCATTCACTAAAACAGACCAGATAAAATTGTTCATGAAAGAAATTCAGATATCATCTTGAGTTGCACGCACAGTAAGGTCTTACTAGACTAGGTCTCAGAAAGTCATCTAAAAATTGCCAATTTGTGCAGAAATATCACGTGAAAGTCTGAGGTGATGAGTGTGTATGAGTACATAGCAGTTACCCAGCAGTTCTTGTCCTCACACACTCCTTTTGGTTCCTTAGGTGTAACGTTCCCTTCAGGTGAGATGCAGCAGAGGCTGGTTCATTCTCTCTACCAGGAGGCAAATATAACTCCTGAGCAGGTGGAATACGTGGAAGCCCATGGCACTGGAACAAAAGTGAGTGCAGAAAACATCACTGTTAGCCTGTTGTCAGTACTAGTCTTTGCATCACAAGGCAGGTAGTTGATGATGAGACCTAAAGCACTCAAACACAAGTAAATTTTTATTCTGATAAAGAAAGAATCACCTTCATCCAGACAGCTAATGTCACTCACCAAGAGCATCTGACGGAATCTCTGCTCCCCACACACAGGTTGGGGACCCACAGGAAGTGAATGGCATTGTCAAGGTGTTCTGTCAATCAAAGCGAGAGCCTCTGCTTATTGGCTCCACCAAGTCTAACATGGGCCACCCAGAGCCGGCCTCTGGTCTGGCCGCCCTGGCAAAGGTGAGAATGACAGCACTCCTGTTATTTGCTGCTCTTTAGATTAAAAAAAAAACAAAACAACAACCACATTGTTTTTCGTTTCCAGTTTTATAGCTCTGCGCTGACAACAGCCGTGGCCATGGACGCCACACCTCAGCAACGTCTTTAGAGAATTACTTCAAATTTAGAAAAAATGTCCACTAGGATGAACTGATTAGATTCTGGTCGTCTCCTGTTCCTCTGGCAGGCCACCACAAGCTCATTGGCTTTGTTGATACTGAGCTCCAGATGACTGTGGCTGTACAGTGTGACAAAGCTCTCTATCAGGTCTCTCTATTCCTCTGGTAAAATGGTCTATAAAAGAAGATGACATGCTTCTCACTGGAAATTATTCACTAGATTGATGTATGTCAATATAGCCATAACGTTCATTTAGCCAAAAGATGCACTTAAGTTTTATTAATTTCCTTCAGTCTTCACTACAAATATTATACAAGTTTGTGCTTATAAACTTCAACATGACTGGTAGGTGGAGACATACAGCCACGAGGTTGTCAGTCTAGTTTTTCTTTTTCAAACCACCTCTCTTGTTGAAGAGTTATTTGTCTCCTTGTTCTGAATGACACACTTGCTTTTTCATATAGTCTCTTCTGGAAGACCTTCATAGTGTTGCACTCAGTTAATTATTTGGAGACCAGATTTGTTGGTTTTCATCAAGATCTGGCATGAGTGGTGACCAGCTGATCAATCTGAAAGATCCAGTTCTGTGCTGGTCAGATTTACACCTACAGTGCTTCACATCATGTACACAGCTGCACAGACAGTAAAATCACAGCTACACAAATTGACAACTGTCCCACAACACAGATGCCAGTGTTTCCCTGTTTTGTTATACTTCAGTGTGGCATTGAGAAATACCTCCACTACAGTCCACACATATGAGTTCTTAGAAAGAAAGAAAATCAGAATTGGCCAAAATCAGAACTTGTCTTTTGCAAATACACCCCCCAGCTGACAGCTTTGTGGAACAATTTATAGACCTGGCCAGTGGTGGTGGGCTTAGGTCAGGACATAAGTGATATATGTAAAGAGAGATCTAGAGGGGGCGGTTGCTTTCACATCTCCATATACCCAACTGATCACTGTGCAAAGTGGCTGGGATTGTCTGATGTTTCAGAAAGTGAAAGTGAAGCCCTTTCTAGCTGGCTTCAGTAATCTGTTAAACTGATGGCTTTTTGTCATTTAGCCACAGGTGACATTTGCATTAATCTTCTTGTGGCTTCACAGTGTTATTTTAGGTATTTCAGCCATACTAACATTGTGTTTCATCTAGGTTTTTCTTTTTGTTTTATCCCCTCAAACAGGTGTTACTTTCTTTAGAGCATGGAGTCTGGCCTCCTAACCTGCATTTCAACAATCCTAACCCTGACATTCCCGCCCTCACTGACGGCCTGGTTAAAGTGGTTGACCGGCCTACCCCTGTCCGAGGCGGCATAATAGGCATCAACTCCTTTGGATTTGGTGGTTCAAATGTTCATGTGATCCTTCGTCCAGCGGTGAAAGCCGCTGATGAGACTGTACTGCCCAGGATGGTTCCCAGGGTGCTTCAGGGCTGTGGCCGGACAGAGGATGCCGTCAACGCTGTGCTCCAGAAGGGGAAGGAACAGGCTGGAGATGACAGCTTCCTGTCTTTGCTGAATGAGGTGTCAGGAGTTCCCACTACTAGTATGCCCTACCGAGGCTATGCTCTGATTGGCTCTCAGAGTGATGTCATGGAGGTGCAGCAGGTGCAAGCCTCTGCTAGGCCGCTCTGGTACATCTGTTCAGGTCAGTTGTCAGACCAATTAAAGTAGAAAGAATTCAGAGGATTTCATAGATTATTCAGAATATCTAGACTCTGTTGCTGGAGGATATTCCTGTTGATTTTTTGATCATGTAACTAATATTTACTTTAATTGCACTGGAAGAAGCAGGAATTCTTGGAGACAGGTATTTCAAAATCTGGACAAACAAAACCAGAATTATCTGCATGGGAAAATGCAGTGAGTAATAAATGACAATAAAACGGAACCATGGAATATTTTTGTAGAACTGACGTTATAGCATGCCTTTATAATATTAAAATCTTTTTTTTACATCTTCAAATGATCTTTAACATAGATGCAAATTAAACAGAATAAAGAGGCACAATGGTTTAACAGCTCTACAGATAAATTTGGAACTCAGACATTTATTTTTCAGAAACTGACATTGCTGGATTAATGGATGTGACTGCTTATCATATGAAACAGGTATGGGAACACAGTGGGCAGGTATGGGCCGTAGTCTCATGCAGCTGCCAGACTTCAGAGAGTCCATATTGCGGTCAGATGCAGCCCTGAAGGACACCGGCCTCGTCGTGTCTCGCCTGCTCATGGAGGAGGACAGTGCCATATTTGAAGACACTATTCATGCCTTTGTTGGCCTCGCTGCCATACAGGTAGAGTGGCTGTGGGAACTATGGCATATACTAACTAAGGGGAAAATAGGTGTCATTTTCATATGGACTTTAGTGTCGGACTCCTCATGAATGTTTTGACTTACAGGTGCTGGTCATATAATTAGAATATCATCAAAAAGTTGATTTATTTCACTAATTCCATTCAAAAAGTGAAACTTGTATATCATATTCATTCACACAGACTGATATATTTCAAATGTTTATTTCTTTTAATTGTGATGATTATAACTGACAACCAATGAAAACCCCAAATTCGGTATCTCAGAAAATTAGAATATTACTGAATACCAATACAAAGAAAGGATTTTTAGAAATCTTGGCCAACTGAAAAGTATGAACATGAAAAGTATGAGCATGTACAGCACTCAATACTTAGTTGGGGCTCCTTTTGCCTGAATTACTGCAGCAATGCGGCGTGGCATGGAGTCGATCAGTCTGTGGCACTGCTCAGGTGTTACGAGAGCCCAGGTTGCTCTGATAGTGGCCTTCAGCTCTTCTGCATTGTTGGGTCTGGCATATCGCATCTTCCTCTTCACAATACACCAAATTTTTCAAATGGGGTTAAGGTCAGGCGAGTTTGCTGGCCAATTAAGAACAGGGATACCATGGTCCTTAAACCAGGTACTGGTAGCTTTGGCACTGTGTGCAGGTGCCAAGTCCTGTTGGAAAATGAAATCTGCATCTCCATAAAGTTGGTCAGCAGCAGGAAGCATGAAGTGCTCTAAAACTTCCTGGTATACAGCTGCATTGACCTTGGACCTCAGAAAACACAGTGGACCAACACCAGCAGATGACATGGCACCCCAAACCATCACTGACTGTGGAAACTTTACACTGGACCTCAAGCAACGTGGATTCTGTGCCTCTCCTCTCTTCCTCCAGACTCTGGGACCCCGATTTCCAAAGGTAATGCAAAATTTACTTTCATCAGAGAACATGACTTTGGACCACTCAGCAGCAGTCCAGTCCTTTTTGTCTTTAGCCCAGGTGAGACGCTTCTGACGCTGTCTGTTGTTCAAGAGTGGCTTGACACAAGGAATGCGACAGCTGAAACCCATGTCTTTCTGTGCGTAGTGGTTCTGGAAGCACTGACTCCAGCTGCAGTCCACTCTTTGTGAATCTCCCCCACATTTTTGAATCGGTTTTGTTTCACAATCCTCTCCAGGGTGCGGTTATCCCTTTTGCTTGTACACTTTTTTCTACCACATCTTTTCCTTCCCTTCGCCTCTCTATTAATGTGCTTGGACACAGACCTCTGTGACCAGCCAGCCTCTTCTGCAATGACCTTTTGTGTCTTGCCCTCCTTGTGCAAGGTGTCAATGGTGGTCTTTTGGACAACTGTCAGGTCAGCAGTCTTCCCCATGATTGTGTAGCCTACAGAACTAGACAGAGAGACCATTTAAAGGCCTTTGCAGGTGTTTTGAGTCAAATAGCTGATTAGAGTGTGGCTCCGTGACTGTTCTTGAATGGCCCAGCCAGAGCCCTGACTTAAACCCAATTGAGCATCTCTGGAGAGACCTGAAAATGGCTGTCCACCAACGTTTACCATCTAACCTGACAGAACTGGAGAGGATCTGCAAGGAGGAATGGCAGAGGATCCCCAAATTCAGGTGTGGAAAAACTTGTTGCATCATTCCCAAAAAGACTCATGGCTGTATTAGTTCAAAAGGGTGCTTCTATTAAATACTGAGCAAAGGGTCTGAATACTTATGACCATGTGATATTTCAGTTTTACATTTTAATAAATCTGCAAAAATGTCAAACATTCTGTGTTTTTCTGTCAATATGGGGTGCTGTGTGTACATTAATGAGGAAAAAAATGAACTTAAATGATTTTTAGCATATGGCTGCAATATAACAAAGAGTGAAAAATTTAAGGGGGTCTGAATACTTTCCGTACCCACTGTATATTTAGATTTTTGTATTTTTTTTACACACTTAAAGTTGGAAACTGAACACAGCCTCGTTACCTCTGTTTTCATACATCTCTACATCTCAAATGATGTATATTAAGGGGTTTATCCTGATACAGTACCTTTCACAACAAAATTGTATATTTTAGTATCTTGAATTCATTTACTTGTATTTGTCACTGCTCCAGTTTCAGTAAAGTGTTCTGGGCTTCCCCTTGTTGCAGGTAGCTCAGATCGACTTGCTCACTAAGATGGGTCTGCAGCCTGATGGCATCGTAGGACACTCAGTGGGAGAGCTGGCCTGTGGCTATGCTGATGGCTCCCTCAGCCAAAGCGAAGTCATCCTGGCTGCCTATTGGAGAGGCCGCTGCATTAAGGAGGCCAGCCTTCCTCCAGGAGGCATGGCTGCAGTCGGTAGGAGATAGAGCTTTACCGTATTTCAGCAGCTGGTTTCATCAGAAATGCACATCTGATATTCCTTCTGGGACATGAATCAAACTCTGTTTACCATGTCACACCTTTCCATCACTTGTTTTAATGGTCGCCATTTTTCTGACTGCTACTGCTCCTGACAAACAATCAGAACTATGACAGCCAACGGCTGCATCACAGAAGCATATAAAGCGGTTTTTAATACACTTATTTTCTATATAATTGAAAACGTGACATGAAACATATGTAATGTAAGTGAAGATTTTTTTTAACGTGTGAAAATGCACAATAATTGCACCCACTTTGGGGACCGCTGGGAACTAGAGTTGTTTTTGGCAGCCTGTTTTAATTTTAATTTTAGTCTAGTTTTTGTGTGAAGCTGTCATTTTAGTTTTTATTAGTTTTAGTCACATTCATACTCTTTTTAGTCTAGTCTAGTTTTAGTCGACGAAAACCAATGACATTTTAGTTTTATTTTAGTCAGAATTATCCATGACTATTTTCATCTAGTTTTAGTTGATGAAAGCTGATGACATTTTAGTCTAGTTTTAGTCAATGAAAATTGTATTTTAGTCTTTTTAGTAATGCAGTTCTATTTAACCCAGTCAATATAGTACAAGTATCAAGTAGTATAGACGAAACCAAAAGTTTCTTTTAGCCAAACCCATTTCAAACAAGGTTATCTTATTATATTATTGTTACCTTATAGACTCAAGAATACATCCAATACACATTTTGTGTGATTTTGTGGCCACATTTTTTCCCCATCTTTTTCCATAACATTGTTTTTCGTTTCCACTTCTATGTAATGAAAGTTTTTCAAATGTCGTTTCTTATTTTTCTCCCAATGACGAACCCCGGCTGGCTGGCCATCGGTCCCTTTCTCTGACTTAACTTTGTTTGTTGTCGTCTTCTAAATAATGCCGCGAGTGGGGCTTAAGGAAGTGACGTCACCTGCGTCTGCGCAG